GAGAGTTCCAGGCTAGCCTGAGCTACAGTACAGCCTGATTTCAAGAGGGAAAAACAGTATGGGATTTTAGTTTGAAATATAACTTACTTACAGTAAGATTTCCCTATTTAAATCACCCATGTCTCTAAGTTTTGAAGACATGCTATGTAACCAGCACTGTTGATTCAGTGTCATCAGCTGAAAGTCCCCTCCCCTTTCACACTAGTTCCGCAGGCTGGTGGAACAGCTGGTCTGTTTTCTGTCCTTACGGTTGTCTTCTCTATGGAGTCATATGAGAGAATCATAAAGTATTCACCCGGGCTGCAGCTGTAGCTCAGTTGGTAGAGTGTTTGTCTAGCATGCTTGAAGCCCTGGGTTCGATCCCTATTCTAGGGAGGTGGAGTCAGGGAAAAATCAGAAGTCTGAGGGTATGCTCAGCTGCATTGCAAGATCAGGGCCAGCCTGGGCTACGTGAGACTCTTTTTTTTAAAGTATATAGTCCTTTGCTTCTTTCCCTTCCTGTAATGCTGTGCTGTTGAAAGTATTGTATCCTGATGCATAGACACACTTCAGTTTGCATAGCCTTTCATTTGGGTGCTTTTGAGTTTTGTCTGATTTTGGATTAAAAACCACTCTGTATATCTATCTTTTTGTGGCAATTTAGAATAATTTTATTAAATGACTTCTCATTCTTAAAAAATTTAGAAAAGAAGAGATTTGTTACTGTTATTATATGAACTCTCTAGGAAGAAATACTTCTATCTTTTTTTTTGGGGGGGGCTAGGGCCTCACTGTATAGCTAGCCCTGGCTGTCCTTGAACTCAGTATTTAGCCAGACTGTTCAGACTCACAGAGATTTGCCTGCCTCTGCCTGAAGGAAACTTTCATTGTTATTGATTTGTTTACTTAGTGTGTGTGTGTGTGTGTACACATGCATGTGTAGCATGGCAAGCTTGAAATCAGAGGAGAGCAGGCAGGAGTTGCTTCTCTCTTTCCACCATATGGATCTAGGGCCCACTGAGCCATCTTGCCAAACCTGTTTTTTGTTTGGAAAAAAAATTATTGTGCATGCTTAAAGACATGTGTGCGTGTATTTGTGTGTGTGTGTGTGTGTGTGTGTGTGTGTGTGTGTGTGTGTGTGTGTGTGAAAGAGAGAGAGAGAGAGAGAGAGAGAGAGAGAGAGAGAGAGAGAGTGTTCAGGTACTTGCAGAGGCCAGCTCTAGTCCTTGATGCAGCACCCGAGGCTGATACATCAAGTGCTTTTACCCACAGCAATCCTGCAGACCCAGGGGGACATCTTTGTAATAGTTTTCATATCCGGAAACATTTTATTTATGGCTTTTTTATTTGTTTTGTTTTGACTCTTGCTATGGTAGCCCAAGCTATCTTGAAACTTGTTATGTAGCCGAATGTTTCTGGCTTCTGAACGTGTGCTCACGGCGTGCACCCCTGTCCTCCTCCTTCCCCTGTCTCTGAGTTCACACTCAGATCTCACTGTTCCTGTGCTGTCTCCTGTTATCACAAAGCTGGGTGGCCTGTTATTTACATCAGCTCAATAATGTCGCAAAGAATAAGATAATCTTTTTGTACTCCATACTGTAAAAAAAATCACTTTTTTTCCTGTTAAGTTTTATATCTTAAGTCAAAGAACCAGCTACATATTTTGCATTGAATTTAGTCCTCAACTATCCCACCTTTACGTAGCATGTGCTCTGACAGTTGTATTTGTTGTTGGTTTGTTTCGGAGACAGGAGCCTCAAACTTGCTGTTAGCATGACCTTGAACTCTGGATCGTCCTGCCTCCGCCTCCCCAATGCTAAGATGTACAGGCATGCACCATTATGCCCGGCTCTGGTAATTATATGGGACCCAAAACCAACTGACCAACCAACCAAATTTACCCTTGGACCCCATTTTTTAACACATTGATAGTGGGTTCAACTTGAGGAGGGGTCTTTTGTTTTTCTTGCATAACATTTTCTAGGCTGTTTTTACTAAGCATGTTCATATTATTGAACCTTCTGATCCCTTCATATACATATACATATATATATTTATATATATGATAGGATCACAACTGTCTATAACTCCATTCCCAGGATGTCTGATACTCTCTTTTGGCCTCTATGGACACCAGCACACATGTAGTGCACATATACACATGTAGGCTTTCACACAAACACATAAAATCTTATATCTATCTATATCTCTTTATTTTTCTTGATACAGATCTCACTATGCAGCCCTGGTTGGCCTGGAATTTGCTCTTCAGACCACAAAGCTGGCTTTGTGGCTTTGAACTCACAGAGATCCACCTGCTTCTGGAGTGCTGGGGTTCAAAGTGTGCACCACTGTGCCTGGCTTATAAATACTTTTTTTTTTTTTTTTTTTTTTTTTGGTTTTTCGAGACAGGGTTTCTCTGTGCAGCTTTGCGCCTTTCCTGGGACTCACTTGGTAGCCCAGGCTGGCCTCGAACTCACAGAGATCCGCCTGGCTCTACCTCCCGAGTGCTGGGATTAAAGGCGTGCGCCACCACCGCCCGGTCATAAATAATTTAAAAAAAGAGTCTATCACATAGACTAGAGAGAGATTTGGAATCATAGATGTGTTCTCCCTGGCCTGGAAGAAAGCAGACATCACTGTGTACTGGGTGATGAACTGCACTGGCCTGCAGGGGCCGAGGGCAGTGTGCAGTCAATAGACAGCAAGAAACAGGACCTGAATCCTTCAACAACATGCTGTGTATATCAGTAACTCAAATGAATGAAGAAGACCTTGAGCTGTAGTAGCTGAGTGTAGAGTAAGCTATATTCTTTAAGAAAGCCAACGGGACCATTTAGTTAATTATATTTTAGAGAGAGTCTCACTGCTATGTAGCCCAGGCTAGCCTTGAAATCCTTCCACTCCCAAGTACTTCGATTACAGATGTGCTCTACATCTGTATTTATTTTTAATGAATCTCATACTTAAAATATGCATGTGTGATACAAAAAAAATATTTCACCTGGAACTGTTTGGGAAAATATTGCCAACAAACTTCATCACTCAGAATACTTTAACATTTATTTCCTATGTAGCCACTGTCACACGACTGTCCAGTGGGTGTCAGCTGCCACCACCTGACACTCAGACTTGGGGGTTTTCTAATGCCCTCCCTAGCGCTAGGCTCAAGGTCAGGAACTGACTGTGTGTTTAGGTATCTTGTCTCTAGTCTGTCCTTCAGAGCTTGCGTTATTTCCATTGTCAGGAAACTTTGGAAGACCGAAGCCGCCATTTTGCATAACATGGAAAATGGCGTTTTGTCTGGCTTTGTCTGACCTTCCACGGGAGACTCTGTTTGCATTATTAGCAGGGATAGCCCAGAGAGGCGGACGTGTTCATTAGCTCCTTTCAAGTGGTGCGTGGCTTCAATTTGTTCTGTTACTAGTGGCCTCATTTTGATTATTTGATTAAGGCACTGGCTGCTAGACAACCATTCTGTAAGATTACTCCTTTTCTCCCCTTTGTAAGGAACACTTTTGTTGGGAAACCTTTTGAGCCTAAGTAAATAATCGCATTCTCCATTAAGTCAATGAATTGATTTGTATCAGCATGACTTATGGGTCCTTATATTCTGTATTGGGTTGCTATCATTATTTTCTGAGGCTCACATTATCTCAGATCTGGCCAGTAGGAGTCCTTAAGCTGACTCCTGTCTTTTCAATATGTTCCTGTAACTCTTTGGGCATCACATTCCTTCCTAGCACAAAATGTTTCAGGCTCGTTGTGCATGTTACCTGCCCTAGTTCTGAAATTAGCTGTTTTTTCGTGGAACCCTGATTCCCTTGACTGGAAAACGATAGTAATAAAAGATCTGAGTGCTCCTTTCTTACTGTTCCTGGAAGATCCCTGCACCAAGTCCTCTCAGGGGATGGAATTAGAGAAGAGATTTATGAATATATCCATATCTATGTGTGCATAGACATACATCATCTATGTTCCCATTTCTCTCTGTGTGTGTATATATGTATATATGAGGCCATATTAGAGATGCTATCTTGCGGGTATCTGTGTGTGCTTGTTGTGAAGGGTACATGTGCACATGTGTGGAAGCCAGAAGTAAACACTGGGTGTTGTCTTCTGTCACTGTTCACCTTCATTTTTAAGACGGTTTCTCTGGTGAATCTGGGGCTCACTGATTAGTGAGCACACACACGCACACACGCACATGCACACATGCACACACGCACACATGCACACACGCACACATACACACACATACACACACATACACACATGCACACACACACATGCACACACACATACACACATGCTCACACACGCACACATGCACACACGAACACATGCACAGACATGCGCGCGCGCGCACACACACACACGCACACAAATACAAAACAATAAAGATAAACTTTTAAGGGCTAGTGACATGACTTAGTCCATAAAGACACTTGATGCTGAGTTTAATGACCTGAGTGAGATGCCCAGGACCCACCTAGTGGAAGTAGAACTGACTCTGGGAAGACCCTTGACCTACATCCTCGTTCTCTCTAAATCAATAAACATAAAAATTAAATAAACTGGATTAAATTAAATAAAATAAAAATAAAAAAGCTGTGGGGGCGTGGGTGGGTGGGTGGTGGCGCATACCTTTAATCCCAGCACCAGGAGGCAGAGGCAGGTGGATCTCTGTGAGTTCAAGGTCAGCCTGTTCTACAGAGTGAGTTCCAGGACAGCCAGGGCTGTTACACATTGAAAGTCTGTCTTGAAACACACTCAAAAAAATTAAGTAAACATTTAGAAAAGAATAAAGACAGCATGGCTGAGCATAGCTCCATGGTGGAGTACTTCCCTAGCATACCTGAGACCCGGGTTTAATCCCTAGTACCAAAAGGTACTCAAATATCTTCACGGTAGCTGATGTTGGTGCTTTTACACGTAACTGTCCCTTGTCTTTCTGCTTCATGATGTTATCAGTGTTGTCGACCAAAATGTCCCATTCATCGCCCTGTTTCCTGCTGTAGGACACAATGATTATATCTGTCCAGCAACGAATCAGTGCACCATAGACAAGAACCGGCGTAAAAGCTGCCAGGCCTGCCGACTTCGCAAGTGTTACGAAGTAGGAATGGTCAAGTGTGGTGAGTGTTCCCTTCCCTTTTACTGCAGTAGGTGCCTGGGAGAGCCGAGGAACTGGAGCCACGTGGCCTGGCAGAGAGGAGACTCAGGGCACGGGAGTTACCTTTAAGTGTGTGCCCATCACAGTGCATTGGTTATTCCTCACAACGGGTATGCGGACAGAGCTGGGTAAGTGTGAGCAAGCCCAGGACAAAGATGTCAGTGCATTAGAGGCCAGCGGCTGACACAGCTCGGTGGAGGAGTGAAGGAGAGGCCTCTGTGTAGGTCGGGGGGCTGTTAGCCGCTGAGATGCTGGAGGTCCACCTGCCAGCGAACGGTGACATCCCGGCATGAACGTCCTCAGTTAAAGCCTGTGACGGGAAAGCAGACTGTCTTGTGGATTTCTCAGGTGCCTGTGTGATCCTGTCTCTCCACTTGCTTTCTACAAGTAGGGGAATAGATGCTTCGAGATGGCACTCCCAGTGGGAAAACAGTCTGTCTAGACGGCGTCTTAGCTTGGCTTCTTTGCTTTTTTTGCCGACTGTTCGTTTAGCTTCAGCTCTCTAGCCCTTGGGTTTATCTCTGAAACACAGCTATCTGTTTGTTTGGGTTTTGAGAGGAGCAGGAAGCGGACAAGCGGGAATTCCGGTGCAGTGTCCGATGCTCCCTCTCGGCTTCCCTCAGCTCTCCTCACGGCATAGTGCTTGTGAATTATGACTTGGACCCAGGCTCAACACAGACAAGTAAAGAATTGATCACCTAGGCAGCTCACACCTGTAACCCTGGCCCTTGGGAGGCTAAGGCAGAAGAAGGATTACTGTGGGTCTGAGTCCAGCCTGGATGACACAGACCGTGAAACAAGATGGGGGAGGCTTTCTCATCTCTTTGGGAATTCCAGAAGATGAGCTAAGAGGTGTCACGTAGGTGGGTGTTCTGCTCTCCGTGGAACAGAAAGAACATATTTGTACGTCTCATTGCAGTGACAGATGCCTTGAAGGAAACGGTTGAAGGGAGGAAACTTGGTTTTGGCCGATGGTCTTAGAAGTTCTGTCCATGGTCAGTTGGCTTGTTAGGCCCCTGGGAAGCCAGAAGCTTCATGGAGGAGATGTGTGGAGAGGGAAGCTGCTTACTTCACGGTGGCCAGGAAGCCAGGAAGGGTGCAGGGGGACAGGGACAAGCTATGCATTTCAGATAAGCACAAACAACTCCTCCAACCAGAGCTCCTCCTCCTCCTCCTCCTCTTCTCCTCCTCCTCCTCCTCCTCCTTTTTTTTTTTTTAAATTTTTCGAGACAGGGTTTCTCTGTGTAGCTCTGGTTGTCCTGGATCTCGCTCTGTAGCCCAGGCTGGCCTTCAAACCCACAGAGATCCTCCTGGCTCTGCCTCCCGAGTGCTGGGATTAAAGGCGTGCGCCACCACTGCCTAGCTTGTCCTCCTTCTTCTTTAAAGATGTATTTTTTTTTATTTTATCTATATAAGTGTTTTGCCTGCATGCATGTCTATGCACCACCTTCATGCGGTGCCCATGGAGATCATTGGATCCCTGGAGCTGTAGTTACAGATGGTTGTGAGTCACCGCACGGGTGCTGGGAGCTGATACTGGGTCCTCTGCAAGAGCAGCAAGTGTTCTTCACCACTGACCCATCCCTCCAGCTCCTGTCTCTCCCTTCATTCCTGGCAGCTTTCTGCTTTTCTCTAAATCCTCTGTTCACATTTGTCCTTCTCCACTGTCTTTAAATTTATATATGTGTGTGTGTGTGTGTGTGTGTGTGTGTGTGTATGTACATATACACATTTAAGTTTAAAAATTACAACATTTCCCCTCCCTTTTCCTCTCTCCAATCCCTTCCATGTACTCTTCTTGCTCCCTCTAGAAATTATGGCCTTTTTTTGTTGTTATTGTTTTCTACACACACACACACACACACACACACACACACACACACACATACACACACACACACACACACACACGCTGCTCGGTCCACTTAATGTTACCTGTATGTAGATGATTTCGGAGCCGACCCTTTGGTTGTGGCTCTCCCCTGGGAAAGGCTGTTTTTCCCACTCTCAGCATCCCTTAGTTGCCTATAGCTCTTAGTCTGTGGGCGGGGCCCCATGAGATCCCCCCCCCCCCCCCCCCCCCCGTCCTTGTTAGCGTGTCTATTGGTGATGTACTTGCTCAGGTCTTGTTTACTCAACCATACTGTTGGGGAACCATAGGCGTGGCTTCTGTGTTTCTGATCCTGCCCTTTAGGTTGAAGCATTCAGATGGTTATTGAAATGGTGAGTGCACACCCACCTTGGCTGACTAGGGTGGGGGGAAGAGTGTGGGGTCAGAGATGATATGGCTTCATGATAAAGACACATTGTGATGTAAATATCCAGGAACACAAGCTGAATAGCTATGTATCTGGTTTGGATCCCTGCGCTGGGACAATAGCTCAGCATCGTTAGGATGCCATCCCTTGACTTGCCTCAGCATCATTAGGATGCCATCCCTTGACTTGCCTCAGCATCATTAGGATGCCATCCCTTGACTTGCCTCAGCATCGTTAGGATGCCATCCCTTGACTTGCCTCCTGTATGGATAGACGGCTGTAGCAGTGATAGTAGGCAGTATAAAACAGTCATTACAACTCAGCTTAGGATCAGACTCTGATCGGGTTGATCGCTATTTCCTAGCTTTTCGACCTAAGACAAATCATTTTCATTTTTAAATTTTGTGTGTGTATATGTGTTTGTATGCGCACACATGTGTACGTAGGTATGCGTGCATGTGTGTGTGGAGGCCGGAGGTCAGTCTCAGGCACCTCCCTTTTTGGGAAAGTGTTTCCCACTCAACTGGAACTTACCTGTTTGTCTAGACTGGCTGGCCTAGGAAGCCCTAGGGATCCTCTTGTCTCTGCCTTCGCGGTGCTGGGGTTCCAGGCATACACTGCTGCACCCCACCTTTTAGATTGGTGCTGGGGATCAAATCCGAGTACTTTGCTCACTGGCCTATCTCCTGACCCTGATTTTTATTTGTATTTTTTTGAGACAGGATCTCATGTAGCCCAAGGTAGCCTCAACCTTGCTTCGTAGTCAAGAACAACCTTGAACATAGCTCCTCACTCTACCTTCCAAGTGCTGAGATAACGGGCTTGCTCCACCAAACCTAGTTTCTGTAGTCCTGGGAATCAAGGACTTGGGCTTTCATGCACGCTACTCTACCAACTGAGCTACATCCCCAGCCCTGTATGCATATCTGTCTTTAAACTCCTTGCCCTCATATACTGTACGAAAGACAAACACACAGTCAGAAAAGTACCTTCTGAAGATGTATATTTTGTTTCACTGAACTCTTGGGGTTATCATTGATATTAAGCGTCTACAGCACTTGACTACTGAAGTGAAATATGTGTGGGCCGGTCAGATGGGTGAGCTGGTAAAAGTGCTTCTCGCTGAGCCTGCCGGCCTGAGTTCACTTCCCAGATCCACAAGGCAGAGGGAGAGAACTGACTCTTGTAAGATCTCCTCTCAACCTCCACGTGTGCCCACAAACATACACACATAAATAAATAAATAAATAAATAAATAAATAAATAAATAAATAAATAAATAAATAAATAAATGTAATAAGGCAAAAAAATGAAATACATGTTCATCTTTTAACTCTTCCAGTTATAAATTAGGTTCAAGTGTCCCTAAGTCAATGGTGCCTTTCCTGTGTCAATGAACCAAGGTCAAACCAACAAAATCAAACAAAGCCCCGACATCCCATCTTGAATTCAACACTTTTTTCCTTTTGGTTGATCGTTTTATGTTTTTCTTTGTCTTCCACTAGCTTAGGGGTTGAATATCTGCTATTTCAGTTCCTTCCATGACATTTTTATTTACATGCATTTTTGACTGATTTGAGGAGGTCAGCTTCTTCCTAAGTAAAACAATTCTTTTGAAGTTCTAATCTGAGACCCCTTCTGATCTTCCACGATGCACTTGGCTTACCTTCTTTGTTCATCCCTAGAAACTACATTATTATCATTCATTCCCAGAAACTATTATTATTACTATTATTTTGTTCATTCAGTGCTTTGTCGGGGTATGTGTGTTAAGGATTGAACCCAGGACCTTGGGCATGCTGGGAAAGCACTCTGCCACTGATCTACACCTCAGCCCTCATACAGTGATTTTTTTTTAAAAAAAGGTTTATATTTTCTGTTTTTTTTTACAATTACTTCTTAAATGTCAACATTTCTATGGTCATTTTTCTCCATTTTAAAAACACATGAGTGGTGTGGCTTCTCAATCATTGTTTAGTGGCAAATGTCCCAAACTGTTTTTTAGATTTGTTTCATGTGTATGGCTATTTTGCCTGCATGAATGTGCCTCATGCATGTGCCTTGTGTTCCTGGAGGCCAGAAGAGGACGTTGGATCCCCTGGAACTAGTTACAGATGGTTGTGAGTCACCATGTGGGTGCTTGGAATTGAACCTGGTTCCTCTGCAAAAGCAATAAGTGTTCTTAATAGCCTTTACCATCTCTCTGATCCCTAGTGTCCTTAATTTATTTTCAGATTCAGATGATACATCAATCAGCTGAGAAGACAACTCAAAATTCAAGAAGAACTAGATGTGGTGGTACACATGTATTCTCAGCATTTGGTTGGCTAAGGCAGGAGGATGGTCATAAATTCAAGGCCAGCCTGGGCTACATATTAAGTTCGAAGTTAGCCTGAGCTACATTTCAAGACCCTATTTCAAAAAATCAAAACAAGGGGGTGGGATGGGGCATAGATTTGATCAAAACATATTATATGTATGTATGAAACTCTCAAGGAGTAAATAAAGGAAAAAGAAAACAGGAGGTATCTGAAATTATAAAAATGGCCAACACAAATATATGTGTGTATACGAATATATTTATGTATTATGTATATATATTCAAATTAATAAAATGGCCTATCTATATTCAAATAATGAAAAATACCAATATATCTTTGCCAGTCATGGTGGCTAATCCCAGTAATCCCAGTGCATGGGAGACTGAGGAAGGTGTATTTCTAGGAGTTTGGGGTCAGCCTGGGCTACAGAATGAGACCCTTGTCTTAAAACATAAAAACTGATTTTTCTCACCTTTTTTTTGTTTTGTTTTTTTTACAATCTCATGTAGTTCATCCAGGGTAGCCTTGAACTCACCATGTAGCCAAAACTGCCCTTGCGCTCCTGGTCCTTCTGCGCCCACCTCCTGAGTACTGGAGTTAGAGGGCTGTCTACCACTCCTGGCTTTCCCTTCGTCATTTTAAAAACATCCTTTCATTATGTTATGATCCATAGGCCTATAGTAACAAGAACATTTTGATACTAGCACAGGCATAGAAATACCAGTAAAACTGAGAAGAGAATCAGGAATTAATCACCTATATAGGAAAATATTTATTATTGACAGGCATTTAAAATTGGCAGGAAGCCGGGCGGTGGTGGCGCACGCCTTTAATCCCAGCACTCGGGAGGCAGAGCCAGGCGGATCTCTGTGAGTTCGAGGCCAGCCTGGTCTCCAAAGCGAGTTCCAGGAAAGGCGCAAAGCTACACAGAGAAACCCTGTCTCGAAAAACCAAAAAAAAAAAAAAAATTGGCAGGAAAAAGCTTATGATATAACAAATATAGGGAACACTGTTTATCTGTTTGGGGAATGTGACATGAACTATCAACTTTATATAATACAAACATGCATGTAATACAAACATGTATAAAATTTCAGATAGATTTTAAAGGAGAATGCTTTTATAATTTTGGTGCAAAACAAATTGACTATTTATTAAAGCTTCTTTTTAAAATTTTTTAATTTTTCTTTTTCTTTTTTTTCTTTCTCTTTTTCTTTCTTTCTTTTTTTTTGTTTTTTGTTTTTTGAGACAGGCTTTCTCTGTGTAGCTTTGCTCCTTTCCTGGAACTCACTCTGTAGTCGAGGCTGGCCTTGAACTCACAGAGATCTGCCTGCCTCTGCCTCCCAAGTGCTGGGATTAAAGGCATGCGCCACTACCGCCCGGCAAATTTTTCTTTTTTATGACTTATTTAATTTTATTTTTATGTGCATTGGTGGTGTTTTGTCTACATGAATGTCTGTGTAAGGGTATCAGATCCCCTGGAAGTACAGTTTACAGTTACAGACAGTTGTGAGCTGCCATGTGGGTGCTGGGTATTGAACGGGTCCTCTGGAAGAGCTGCCAGTGCTCTTAACCTCTGAGCTATCTCTCCAGCCCCTTAATAAAGCTTCTTATGGCAGAAGGCACCATGAGCAAAGTTTAAAAGCACAAAGAAAGCCAGATGCTGCATGTATCAATGTTCTACAAAGAGCCTTTATAAATTTTAGAAGAGAAAGGGATAAAAATAAAAAGTCAAGCCGGGTGGCCAGCCTGATCTACAGAGTGAATTCCAGGACAGCCAGGGCTGCACAGAGAAACCCTGTCTTGAACCCTCCCTTAAAAAAAATAGGCAATGTACAAGTAAAGAAATATGAGCCGGGCGGTGGTGGCGCACGCCTTTAATCCCAGCACTCGGGAGGCAGAGGCCGGCGGATCTCTGTGAGTTCGAGGCCAGCCTGGGCTACCAAGTGAGTTCCAGGAAAGGCACAAAGCTACACAGAGAAACCCTGTCTCGAAAAACCAAAAAAAAAAAAAAAGAAATATAAGGGGCAAACATTGTGAATGTTACTAATAATTTAAAAAATGCAAAATAACAAAAGACTGTTTACTCACTCCTAAGACCAACAAAGATTAAAAGTAACACTAAGGCCAAATAGGTAGTCATTAAAATATTGTTTAGATTATGAATTTTTAAATATTTTGGAAGGTAATCTATCAGTAACTATAAAATTTTTAATGTACGTATGCCTTGTTTGAACAAGTTAATTTCTTTGAATTTATTATAAAGAAGTAATTGAATATACCTACAAGGCACTTTTTCACTGTAATATTTAATAAAGAAATTATAATAACATAGACTTACATCAGCATGGGACCTTTTAGTTTTTGTTTTCTGAAGTACAGTCTCCTTTACTCTATAGTTCAGGCTGGCCTGGAACTTCCTGTGTATCTCAAGTTGGTCTGGAATTTGTGGTAATCCTCTAGGCTCCACCTGGGTTCCAGCCGTGCTCAGAACAACACTGGATTTTAAAAGTAAATGATATTATATTAATAGGATGGAAAGCTTTACAGATTGTGAACTTTGTTTATTATTGTGTTCCTGGAGATCAGACAACTTTCGGGAGTCAGTTTTCTCTTTCCACCTTGTTAAGGCAATGTCTCTCTTGTTCTTTTTTTTTTTTGGCACTGCGTCCTCTAGGCTAGCTGGACTGTGGGCTTCTGGGCAATTCTTTTGTCTCTGTCTTCTGTAGGAGTGCTGGGATTACATATATATACATATACACATATATACATATATATGCACACATATTTATGGCTTTTTTTTTTTTTCTGAGACAGGTTCTCATTACATAGCCTTGGCTACCTTGGCTATCCTGAAACTCACTATGTAAATCAGACTGGCCTCGAATTCACAGAGATCCATATGCCTCTCTCTCCTGAGTGCTGGAATCAAAGGCGTGCACCACTACACCTGGCATGTAAGGCTTTGTTTACTTGAATTCTGAGTGTTGAATTCAGGTCACGAAGCTTGTATGGCTGGTGTTGTTACTCACTGAGCTATCTCCCCAGCCCAAGTGCTATATTTTCAATAAGATTAAGAGTAATTTATGAAATAGTGCATATACTATGATTCTAATTTTGTTATAAAATATAAAAAAAGCATAAAAGAAAAAATACTGAAAGGATTTTTGCCAAAATTAACTTTTTTGTATTTTCCAGGCTTTTTCAGTTAATTTATTTGAAATATATTTGTGTAAGTATATTAAAAAAATACGTACATGTATATAAAGGTTTTCAAAATGTCGTTAGCGTGTATTGTTTGCTAACTACAAATAGCAATGTTAACGTCCTGACTTTTCCTTACTTTCTACTTGAGGAAAATTCCTACCTTCGTATCTTCGAGCCTGGGGTCCATCAGCACACTTTAGAAGAGAAACAGATTCAGTAGCCAGTGATAACCTTGAAACGGAGCAGAAGTTTCCAAACACGTTATGTTGTTAGTACATCCAGACAGTCGTTATCTTTGTCCGTGGCCCACAGACTCCAAAATATGAAGTGGAATGATATCAACGCTATCACCACCATTGTCAACACAGCGCCTTCTTGCAGGGCTGGGAGTCGAACCCAGGGCCTTGCCCATGCAAGTGGAGCACTTAAGCTACTCACCTACACCCTCAGCCCCTCGCCATTTTTAGGCTGGCCATTCAGTGAGGTGGAATCTTGGGCGGAGAAACCACTGGCTTTGTTGTCTGCTCTCCTCTTTAGGATCCAGGAGAGAAAGGTGTGGGTACCGCATAGTCCGAAGACAGAGGAGTTCCAGTGAGCAGGCGCACTGCCTGAGCAAAGCCAAGAGAAACAGCGGGCACATACCTCGGGTGAAGGAGCTCCTGCTGAGCACCCTGAGCCCAGAGCAGCTGGTGCTCACCCTCCTGGAGGCAGAGCCGCCCAACGTGCTAGTGAGCCGTCCCAGCATGCCCTTCACCGAGGCCTCCATGATGATGTCCCTCACTAAGCTGGCCGACAAGGAACTGGTGCACATGATTGGCTGGGCCAAGAAAATCCCTGGTAGGACTCTCTATCTTGACCTCATCCTGTTTATTTGTAACAAGGCCCATCTCTCACACTTTGGGGACAGTGAACTTCATCTGGGTGTGTAGTAGTTTGTTTGACCTGTTGTTTGCAACCTTTTATTTACAAGATTTTTTAAAATTAAATTTTGATTTGGTGTATATGTGCACACCTGTACGGAGCTATGTGAACATAACTGCAGGTGCCCAAGGAAGCTAGAGCTGTTAGGTCCTTTGAAGCTGGAGTTACAGGCAATTGTGAGCTGTCCAGTGTGGATGCTAGGCATTGAACTCAGCCTAGGTGCTGGAAATTGAACTTGGGTCCTCTACAAGAGCAGTATATGCTCTTAACAGCTCAGCAAAACTTGTAACTTATAACGATGGTGTTTTCGTCTTCCTACCTTGACGTAGATAACCTCAATATGTCCTGGAAGGTTAGATTCTGTTGAGAATCTCTGGACTCTCAAGTTTTATATCAGCTAGAGTAGTTCAGGAAGCGTTGTACAGAGCCTCTTTTTATAGCTGACTCTTCATCTTTGATTCCCAGATCCATCCTGCACACACTGCAGCCCTGCTAATGTTCACATCTCTTGCAGACAGTGCCTGTCACTTACCTCGTGTGCCCAGGTGTGGTCTGTGATAAAATCTGAGAAGGGACCTACCCAGGCTTTGGAACTGGACTTAGGGTCACTTGGGCAAGTCTAGGGTGTTGGGGCCTGGTTAAAAGGTAGAAATGTGGATTCCATATTGACCAGTCTCTTGGCTGTTGACTTCTCAGCTTGTGAGGAAGGGCATGGCAGGTTGGGACAGGATAGAGCCTGTCTCACAGTGAAAGGCTTGTCAGACGATAAATAGGAATTTACAAAATATCACTCCAATAGAGAAAGAATCAGTATTGTATGCAAACAGAGTAAATCAGCAGTTGAAGTAGTGTGAATCAATGGGCCGGTAAATCTTCCTACTATCAAAATGGGATCATGCGGATAATGCACTTTTTCATCCTATAAATCATTATTTCCCCAGGCCCGTTTGTACCCAACTTAGGATGGTTTTAGTTCACAGTTCTTCACTGTGGATGTGATGCTTGAAAGTAGACACTTTTGCTCATTCTGGTTTTCTCCTTCAGTATAAGATTCAAGATCACTTAAGCTACTTGATGCTTTATTATAAAACAAGCCCTGTACTAAATGGTGTTACCAAACTGTCAGCTGACCAAAGTGTTCTAAGCATGTTTAAGGTAGGCTAGGATGAGCTATGATGTTGAATAGGTTAAGTTTATTAAATGCATCTATTTTTAAATATTATTATAAGTATTTGTTTGTTATTACTATTATTATTATCATTAGTGTACAAGTGTGTGTGTGCACGTGCGTGTGTGTGTGCACGTGCGTGTGTGTGTGCACGTGTGTGTGTGTGTGTATGTGTGTGTGTGTGTATGTGTGTGTGTGTGCGTGCGTGCGTGTGTGTGTGTGTGTGTGTGTGTGTGTGTGTGTGTGTGTGTATGTGTGTGTGTGTGTGTGTGTGTGTGTGTGTGTGTAGGTCACAGAACAAACTTCAGGAGTCAGTTCTTTCCTTTCTCCTTTGGTCACAGGGATCAAACTCACATCCTCAGGCTTGCATGAAAGGCATTGTGACTGGCTGAGACATGGTACCGCCCTACATATGGTTCTGTTTTGAGATGAATGTCTCACAGGGTGGGCCATCCACTTCTTTTACAACCATCGAAGAAATAAAGTCTCTCTCTCTCTTTCTTTCTCTCTCTCTCTCTGAATTCTAAGCCAGGCCAAGGTTCCTACAACCCTGGGGCAGTGTGGGCAGTAGCTGTAGGAGAGGAATTGTAAAGTTTTGGCATGGTTGAGTAGGTGGATGAAGAGCTATGGGGACCATGGCCCCAGGCGCAAGGGTCTCTTGTGGCCGTTGTTGGCTGGGCCCCGTTTCTTCTGAGCTTTCTGGACATCTCCGGCTTTCCAGCTTTGTTTTGTCTAGTGTCTCCACCTTTGCCAGAATTATTTCATTTTGTCTCCTGCTTCCCAGAGAAGAAAAACACCAGTGCACTTTCCTCTAGTTTTTGTTTCAAGTGTTTTCCAAACACCATTTTCAGGATCTCACAGGAAAAATGGAGATGGGGTGACTGACTATGGAAAGCTATTTGGCTCTCCCCGCCCCCGACAATTAATCTTTCTTCAAGCATGGTGTTTTGAAAGATTTGCAGGTGTCTGACGTATGACTCTGAGTGAGATTGGAAAGTGTAGATGTATCAGAACCTGATCTGAGCATAAGCATGTGACTCTGCAAGGATTTGTCCATCTGTGGGTGGTGCACATATGTGCACGTGTGTGTGTGTGTGTGTGTGTGTGTGTGTGTGTGTGTGTGTGTGTGTGCATGCATGTGAGTGCCTAGAGGCCAGGGTTTGACACTGGTGTCTTCATTGATTGCTTGCCTCCTTATATTTTGGTTCAGGCTCTCTCAGTGAACTTGGAGTTCACTGATTGGCTACACTGGCTGGCCAGTGAACTCCAGAGATCTGTCATTTCTTTCTCCCTGGTGTTGGCATTATAGATGCACGCTTCCTGGATACTGAGGATCAGACTCAGGTCCTTGTCGTTCCCAGCAAGCACTTGACTGATTGAGCTAGCTCCCCTGCTTTGGATTTGTCCATCTTTACATTCATGCTCCATTCACTCCATTCACATTTACAGTACCATTCATCCAAAGGTCTGAGCATGTGTGGTTTTTCACTGTAGTAACACCGATAAAATATTTATAAGCGATCTTACCTATAGGAAATTCTCAGAGGGAGGCAAGATCACTTCCATTTTTCCTACAAGAGAAACAGATTTGACAAGAGATTAATTTAGCTGGGGGAGGGGGTTAGGGATGTAGTTTAATGGTAGAACGCTGGCCTAGCATGCTCAAGGCCCTGGTTTTGCTTCCTAGTGTGTACAACACACACACACACACACACTTGCACACACTCGTGCACACACACACACACACACACACACTTACTAGTTATGGAGGGACTAAGCTGATATTCCAAACCAGAATCCATTTCAACCCAAGGCTGTGCCTTTGGCTTGAACAGCCCCCTCTTAGTGTGTGTTATGGAAGAAGTTCCCGTGTCCTCTGCCTCGTGCTGAAGGCATTTACTCCTTAGCGATTCTGTGTTTCCTTCCGGCGCTGTGGTTAATTCATGCCATTAGAGTATCGACTACTTCTGTTATCTTCGCTCTTTAGGATGGAATCACCTAGAGACAGCGCCCCTACCCAGAACAGTCCTAACTCTGCATGGGACATGTTCAACAGTCAGAGAACCTACTTAAGTTGAAGCCTCGCCTTTCTGTGGGGAGGGGCTGGCACGACTCTCTGGTTTATCTCCCGCCCCCCTCCTTCTGCCCTCCAAACCACAGACAGACAGCCCCTCTGATTGACAGCTGAGCTTTGGCTTCCTCAGCAGGGTGCAGGAATTACTAGGACAGTATAACCATAGCCAACGAGCCTAGCTCTGCCTTTTGGGCCCTTTCTAGCATCTGTCTGAGGAGCCAATGATTCTTAGAAATATAAAACCAAGTTCGTTTATTTTCTGGAAGGGTCGGAGGCTGGAAACTGCAAGTTGCGTAGCTGAGGTCCCTTAAACCAGCATTTAATCACCTCTTTGAAGTACTGATGAATTACTTCCCTTTGTTGTCTGGGTTTCCTTGCTGTTTAATAACTTGTCTTTCTGTCTTTACAGAAACGGGTTGCCAAGGGGGAGGTGTGTTTAATGGGCTCCTGTTTCCCCAGGTTTTGTGGAGCTCAGTCTGTTGGACCAAGTCCGGCTCTTGGAGAGCTGCTGGATGGAGGTGTTAATGGTGGGGCTGATGTGGCGCTCGATTGACCACCCCGGCAAGCTCATCTTTGCTCCAGACCTCGTTCTGGACAGGTAAGAAAAAAAATGCTTTGCATTTCATCTCTGATCTGTTTGACTAAGCAAAGTGAGTGGGAACCGAGTCCTAGGCGCTGCAATTAAATTCTCGCACCTGAAAGGGTAATTAAAGGATGCTAACACCATCCACTCCTTCACTGGGTCAAGAGCCCACAAAGAAGAGGGCATGGGTACCAGGATTCATCTTCCCCGATCCCTTCTAATCAGTGGTGCATCAGCAGTCACAGACCAGGGCTGTGGCAGGGGACTGCATCCTGCAGGGTCTTGGCCGCTGAGTCCATTTTTTTTTTTTTCATTAAAAATTCTGCTCTCACATTGTATTCTTAAGCTGCCCTGCTGTTGAGTGACCAGTTACATCTCTGCACAGGTGATACAATTCTTATGACCCTTCCAAACTGATTTTTATGTGCTATGGCTTTAATGCTAATGGTATCATTTATCTCTAGTGGCATTTTGGAGCATGTGGTGGGAGGGCTCGTTACTAAGGCCAAATGGAAGTTAACAGACACCAGGACATGATAGTGCTTTGGGACATGTCATGATGTCACAAAGTGGTTGGACTTAGTGTTCTTTTAAAGATGGCGGAGAGTGGGAACTACATTTTGATTTAGTTGAACTGTTTATGGAAGATAAACTGTTCAACAACAGCCAAGCTTTGTTATAGGAGAAAAATGGAAAACTTTTGGTTTGAGTACCTTTGAGTGGTTGGAAAAATCTCCATGGAAAAAGCACTAGTGTTAAGCGTTCTGCACGGGAGACTGGGCACGAGAGCAGGAGGTTGCCTGGTGCTGTGAACCTCAAGTGCCCACCCCAACTCTTGCATCGTAACCCTGTTACCACTTTAGGTCATCAGAAGACCCTCACTGGCACGTTGCGCAGATGAAGAGCGATGCCCCAAGGTATCAGCATCCATTCTGCCCGTTGTCATGGATGACACTGACAGAGAACACTGTTCTGAGTAAATGGAGGTGTTTTGGTGGAGAACAAATCCTGTGGGAAGAGCTGACGCATGGGATGTGGCTTGAGCAGGAGCAAGCCCAGGTGGTGAACGAGAGAGGGAGGCTCTGGAAGGCCAGAGCGGTGGGGCAGGTACCAGACCCTCCAGTGACCCTCACAGAGCTAACACATAGCTGGTGTGTGCCGGGTACCATCCTCTGCACTCAATGTGTGTTGCCTTATTTCATCTTTCTAAAAGCCCCTTGGGAGTGAACACCGTCCATCATTCCAGTCCTTCAGTTAAGGAAATGGGAAGTGAGGTAGTTGATTTACAGGCAGGGTAGTAAGTGATAGTGTAGACGTAGGGATCTGATTCTAAAGTCCACACACATAGCACGTCACTCCCGTGGGAAAGAGAATTGGAAGGGGAAAGAGGAGGTCAAAGGCAAATTGATTTCATAATTTATTCTTTTGCCTTAGAACACAGCCCTGTGACTGGGTCTGTTTCTACCCACCTCAGAAACACACTCCAGCCGTCTCCTCAGAGCTGTCTGTCAAGCTGAAAGGCCAAACACCCGCCAGGCCGTTGCCTCACTCGCTCATTCCACTTCACAAACTTCATAAACGCACATGCAGGAACACGTACACGTGCAGTACTACGTTAGCTGTTCTCCCCCCGCCCCTCCCGGGGATGCATAGTGGGGTTAAATTATTTTACTTTTTGTTTCAGTTGCTAGATGGATGCCAGATCTAGTGTTCCAGTAACTGAGACAGTAACTGGAGAGCGTGTACGGGAGTAAACTTAGCCCTCCCCTTTCTCAGTACGGGTCTGCCACCACTGTCTGGTGTCAGAGCTTCTTCACGTGGAGTTTCCCATAGCTACAAGCACTAAACACTTTTTATTGTCGTGTTTTTGTTTTTTGTTTATTTTTGGTGCTGGGCACAAAACCGAGAGCCTTGTGCTTGCTAAGCAGACACTTGACCACTGAGTTCAACCCTGCCTGTGCCCCTTGATTCTGTCTGAGATTTCTACAGGAAACAAAACGAAACAAAAGCCTTGACGTCGCTGAGGCGGAAGGGAGAACCCAGTGGTTTTGGCTTGTTTGTAACAAGGTAGTTCTTTTGGCATCCGTTAGAAACATAAATTCATGTGAAGATCTAGTGTGAAACCTGAGTTTCTATTTGCCCCAAAATGCATATGTGGCTGGCTGGCTGGCTCAGTGGGCAGAGGAGCTGCTCATCAGCAGCGATGACGTGAGTGTGATCCCTAATAGTCACGTGGTGGAAGGAGAGCACTGACACCACCAAAGTATTCTGACCTCTAAGTGTAACACACACACACACACACACACACACACACACACACACACACACACACACAAACATATACTTACATACACACAAACACCCCACACACATATACACACATACTCACACATACACAAACATACATGTACAAACACACACATATACACATGTATATACATATACAAACATGCACACAGACATACATACAATGTAATTTAAATAAAAAATGCATTTAAGTGTAATTTAAATAAAAAAGTGTCAGCATCCACAGGAAACTGTCTACAGAGCTGTTCCTGGGCATTTGGAGCTGGGCTGGGATCCTACTGTGAACGCTAGGGCTCTTGAGACTCCTAGGATGATGAATGTTCTTAGGGGCTACAATCACACTCAGTGTTGCTAAGCTGAATGTTCTGGAAGATCATAGACTTTCACTCCTAAATTTTAATTTACCCTGTGTAGCTAAGTAATTTCATTTTGGTTAAATATTTGTGAAGTCTCTCCCATGTGCTAAGCCATGAACTGGGCCCCTAGCCCTTGTCCAGCTTCCACACCCACAGAGATAAGCTGGTGTGGGACCCGGCAGATACAGAAGCGAGTGGAAAATTAGCAATGCCAAGGCCAGACAAGCCCACTCAATAATTTGCCACTGTGTCAAACAGGATATTTTTCTTCCATGAAAAAGCATTCAAGTAAGAAGTTACTCCACATGCAATTACTAATTTGATCTTTATTTGGCGCGAGCTTGAAGTGTCCTTCTATAAATAGGTTGATTTGACTGATGTGTCCTTTCAAATGCTAACCCTCCAATCACATGTCTCTGTCTTTAATCTCTTAATCCCTGTCCTACCTTCTTACTCATAACTCGGTTTCCATCCCTAACTGCAAGGTGAATGGCACGGATCGCATCCGTCGGTAAAAGTCCTTCCTCACTTTATTTGGTGTGACTCATTTCAAAGCAGGATGTCATTAAGAGCCACTTAGGAGGTGTGCTTCGTGTCCCTATGTGGCTCGTTTATTTTCTAAAAATGTATCTGGATTCTATAGCCTCTGATGTCGTGGAAGGTACTTGAAGCCTACATGAGGTGAAGTGGTTGCCTGTCCTACTTGCTGGAAAGGAAACAGCCAGGCCTAGTTCTTTAGGGTTGCTTAGACAGGCACCGTTTCTGTGAGGTACATGTGGGGATCACTTGAAGTTACAATGTTTACTGGGGCTTCAGATGCCCCTGTACCTAAACAACTCAGTTTTGAAATACTAATTCTATTACAATGAAATGTTTTTAATGTGGGAATGGGTATTAATCTTGATATTTAGCACCTTTTCTTTGGTGTGGGTGGCAACTTCTAGAAAATAGGATTGATTTTAGCTGAACTGATTTAGCCTTTGGGGGAGTAAGAATGTGTGTGTGTGTGTGTGTGTGTGTGTGTGTGTGTGTGTGTGTGTGTACATGCATGTGTGTTATATAACTGAACATAGCTCCACTTGAGTTTGAATTTTACAGGAGAATAAAGAGTCAAATTATTAAACCACCAATTCACAGTTGGACATGGTAGCCCATACCTACTAGTCCTGGGAAGGCAGAGACAGGAGAGTCACAAGGTTGAAGCTAGCCTGGGCTACATAGTTAGATTCTGTCTCAAAAAAGCAAAATAAACAAAACAAAATGAAAACCATCAGTGCAAGAGTTAGTGTCTGTCCATTTCCTCTCTGGTGATGTATCCAGATCAGCTTCTGTGGCTATCAAATATCTTCAAGCTCAGCACTTACAATTTCAAGCAAGGATCCTTCAGTAGGCAGAGTGGTGTGACATTTCGGCACTAGGGGCATTCAGTGCACAGGTACTTCCTTCCCACTTGCTCTGTTCAGGGCTTCTGCAACCCTTACAGGAACTCAGAGCTGCCGAGGAGGCTTAGGGGAAGTGTGAAGATGGGGTGTAGGGAGTAGTAGGGTTTGTGTAGATTTGCTCCTCTTTGCCCAGGGCTCTGATTTTCCGAATTTTTTTTTTTAAACCTGTGAGTTAGTTCTTGGGGACCCTGGTGTTTTGTCACTTAGCTCCACACTGGCAGAACAATGCAACTGTTTTCAGAAGTTCCCACGCTGATCTGCTAAAGTGAGCAGTTGCATGCTCATGGCTGTGTGCGTGAGTCTGTGGGGCTCTGAATGCTGAGGGATGCAGGATCCTGGTGAGTTGAACACCTAACAGGCAAGACTGGTAGTCTCCAGTGGAGTCAGTTCAGATGACTTCTCCAAAGGTTCTCTCCTGAAATCCCACACTCATTGGAAATGACCTGGTTTCGGGCTGAGAGGAGACAGTGAACAGTCAGGTTTTCTGTTTGTTCTGTTTTTGTTGTTTACTTGTTGTTGTTTTATTTCAACCTCCATAGTCTAGTAAGATGTTAACAGCAGGCCCCACAGGCACCCATTTCTGTCAGGGTGCCTGCCCTTTGCTGCATGCTGCAGGTTTTCAGGAACTGGGAGGATTTTGTGCAAAGTTGTCTAACTACTAGTCAAGGCCCTCCGGTAACTCTGCATCTGAAGAGAGCAGACAGATTTTGAGAGCAGTGAGGTGGAATAATGTGTGTCTAGTTGTTGTGAACAGAAACCAGTGCTCTCTCTTCATGTATAATAGTTTCTTTCAAAGATAGATGTAACAGCTCAATCCTATAAGGCACACTTAAAAGGTTTGTCTGAAACCTTTGTTTAAAAAACTATCTTCAGACTGAGTGTTGTGGCACACATCTGGAATTTCAGCATTTCAGAGGTGGAGGCAGGGAGGCCAGGAGATGAAGGCCAGCCTGGGCTACATGGCAAGACTCTGTCTCAATAAAACAAAACAAAACAAAACAATCCCCCCAAAACATTAATGAACAAAAAGCCCACTTCAGCAAGTCAAAGTCAAGAAAGTGTCACCTGCCCCCAAGTCTGTCTTCTTTCTCTGACTAATCCACCTTCAATTGTAATTTCTCTGTGTGTCACATTTGTTTTCTTCAAATGCTGCTTAAATGTCTTTTGACTCCTAGATCGATTTCTAAATTCAGCCCTATGGGTGGAGATGTGAAAGTTGGTTTTTCTTGAAATATTCAGTTCTAACAGGCTCCCTCATCGGTACTTCCTGATGGGAGTGTGGGGTCTCCCTTTTAATAAGCTGAGTCATCTCCAGTGAGGCTGGTTGACTACAATGGTTTGTTTATAAGCTACAGGCATGGTAATGTCTCCAAGAAGTCCTTCTGGACCGAAGTAGAAGGAGACAGATAGCCTCCAGTGCACACATTTTTTCCTGAAAAAATTGTTGAAGAAGTTAGGAAATGCCCTGTGTTTTTCCCCTCTCCAATGCTAAGGATTTACCCCCACAGCCCTATGAGTGCTAGGCAAGTGTCCCACCATTGAGGCCGCACCCGAGCACCCCTTGTTTCCTTTATACGGACATAGTACTAGTGACTTCCCCTTGTGAAGTGTGCTCTTACTAATACCTCAGTATAGGAGGGACAAAATGACACCTAAGATGTCGTCTCTTGATGGCCGGCTAATGCTATGTGTTCCTTCAATTCCCAAATGAACTCTTGCAGGGATGAGGGCAAGTGTGTGGAAGGGATTCTGGAGATCTTTGACATGCTCCTGGCGACGACATCAAGGTTCCGTGAGTTAAAGCTCCAGCACAAAGAGTATCTCTGTGTGAAGGCCATGATCCTCCTCAACTCCAGTGAGTAACCACACAGCTGCGCTGTTTTGCTGGGGAGAAAGTCTGTCAAACCGGTGTGGTGGTCAAGAGTGCCGAACCTCTGTTCGGTTTAGAAGGCGGATAACAGCCTCACTTCCGACTTCTCCATTTTTCATGGGTTTAGACTGTAGTTAATGTTTGCTAACTTGAGTATAAATTACTCATTGGGTGAGTTACTGGCAGTGGATTTGAAAAGTGGCGCACGCCTTTAGTCCCCAGCACTTGGGAGGCAGAGGCAGTTGGATCTCTCTGAGTTCAAGGCCAGCCTGGTCTACAGGGTGAGTTTTAAGGCAGCCAGGGCTACCCAAAGAAACCCTGTCTTAAAAAACCAAAAAAGAGCCGGGCGGTGGTGGCGCACGCCTTTAATCCCAGCACTCGGGAGGCAGAGCCAGGCGGATCTCTGTGAGTTCGAGGCCAGCCTGGGCTACCAAGTGAGTTCCAGGAAAAGGCGCAAAGCTACACAGAGAAACCCTGTCTCGAAAAACCAAAAAAAAAAAAAAAAAAAAAAAAACCAAAAAAGAAAAGACTGAATTTTACAGTATTTACCCTCCAGCCTTTCCTCAATCCTGCCAGACACAGTCGTTTCGCATGGTTAACATGTATCATCTGTATTTAATGTTTCTGCTTCCACTCTCCCATAGTCATTCATATGTTCGGTACTAACACTTAAGCTACAGCCGAAGAGCTTGTGGTATTGGAAGAGACAGAAAGCAAATTATGAAAACTCATGATGTCGGCGCTGTCCTGAGGGGCACAGATCTGCAGAGTGGAGGGCTGCGAGGCAGGAAAGACTGGAAGGGAAAGACCCCGGGCTCTTCAGGGAAGAGCCACAAGTGGCTCTTTTGGGAACTGGGTGGTCACAGGCAACTTTGGGGGAGTGTCTGTGTATTATGGGAAGGTCATACCCGCTTTCCATAGGGAGGAATGACTAGAATGGAGAGACGCTGAGACAAGGGTGTCCTTAAGATAAAGCGAGCCCAAACAGACTCGGTGTGGCAGGAACGAGGGGAGGGACTTGACTTCAGAGGAGGGAGAGGAGGACAGTGTCTGAGCTGAGTGGATGTTTTGGCTTTCCTAGTTTGTCTTATATAAACAGTATCTGGTGATCGGGAACAACATTGGAGGGAAGAAAACCATACAAGGCAGTAAGAACAACCGGCAGGAACCGTCCCCCTCTCCAAGATACAAATACCCTTGTTGACCATCGGAAATAGTCCGCCCAACTCCTTCTCTCTCTCCCTCCCCTTCTCTCCAGTATCCACTGGTTATTGATTCTAATAACAAAATCAATGGATCCCATTGTCTCTTATATAAAATGGAGCCATACCCACCCATACCTCGTGAGTAGCCCCTCATATACTTGGCATCATCCCTGGGTCATGTACAATACCTAACCCAGTGTGCATACTATGTACATGGTGGTTGTACCGTATCTAGAGAACAGTGACAAAATGTGACTATGTAGGGCTTTTTTAAAATGGTTCTTTGAAACTGGCAATCAAACCCAGAGCTTTGCCCTTGCTAGGTAAGTGTGCTACTGCTCTCAGCTATACCCTTGGCCCCAACTTGGTATAAACACAGAAAATTACTATGTAAAGTGCAAAACATGAGTCCCGGTTTATGTGATTAACACAGCTGACCGGGTTTTAATTACTCTGTGGCTGTCAGAGCTCCCGAGTGCTCACACTTAGATTTTTGTCTTCTCCCTGCAGACTGGGAGAGAGCATTCAGAGAGAAGCTCTGGGGTGGGCACGGGGCGCTGTCAGACAGTGGTGGGATCCCGAGCGGAAAGTGGGGTAGACCTTGCAGGGGACAGGGTGGGGAGGGCTGAAGAAGGAATCCGAAGGGTTCAGAACCCTGTCAGAGCCACTCAGTGTTCCTCAGAAAGTGACTTGTTTGTTGTTAGAACGCTTCATGGTAAGGGGCCTGCTGTTTGGCTTGGCATCTTCTAGATGTCAGATTGTACCAACGCCAGAGCTGCAAACCGTGTCTGTGCAGATGGGCAAGACGAGGCTCTGGCCTTCTTCCTGCGGCATCTGATGAAGCTGCCTTTGTAGGAGGCGAGGAGGGCCGCACGATGGTATTGCCACTTTTGGCAGAAAAACCATTAAACTTTAAGGTGAATCCGCATTTTTGGAAATCTTTACAGAAACCTTATTGCTTACTTGGTAGTCACAGAGAGTTTACTATTCTTTTTGGCATTGCCGTGGGGAAACTGGGATTTGGTTTCTTACGGAAATGCTCTGTTGGAAGAGGTGGCTGCCGTGCTAGCTCTGAAGGACTTGCAAAAACACCTCTTTTTATTTGGTTATTTGCATACACCTCTTTTTATTTGGTTATTTGCATACACCTCTTTTTATTTGGTTATTTGCAAATACCTCTGGTTATTTGCAGCAATTAATTTAAAAATAAAACAATAACCAAGTCAAGGACTAACAGTGGGAATGAGTTGGTGTCCTCAACTGAAACAGCCTGACAGCCTAGGGGTTGTTGGCTGGGGGTGTGTGTGGGGTGTGTGTGGGGGTGTGTGTGTGTGTGTGTGTGTGTGTGTGTGTGTGTGTGTGTGTGTGCTTGAGCGGAAAAGGCTGCATGCAGCATCTCTGGTCTGCAGGTGGCGCTCTTTAAGGCTTCCAATGAACACCAACCTGCTGATGTTTTGAAGCCAGGAAGTGAAATGATCTCCAAAGTTCTCACAGGCTGAGAAATGCCTCACGTTCTCACCCGGCAGTTGGAAAACCTTGTAATAGCCTAGACTTTGGGGTTTGAAAACACTGAGAAAGCCGTTGCCATGGTAATGGGGTAAAGTTAGCCCAGGTCTACAGGCTACCAAATAAAACATAAAAGCAAGATTAGATTATCAAAAATATTGTGAAATAATTTAACTGCAATCTAGCACAAAGCTGAAGAATATTTGAAAGATTTCTCACCTGCTTATGGACAAAATCTATAATTCAGTCTTCAGTGCTACAAAGAGGCCAGGAGCCTGGGGGTGTAGTTCAGTAGGAAGAGTGACTTTGATCACACACACACACACACACACACACACACACACACACACACACACCTGCCCCCCCACAAGATGCTCACTTAAACCCCTGCACAAGAAATGTGTGGAAAGCCGCAGTGAGACAGGTTGTTATCAAATTGCTTAAAGCCAGCAGGAAAGAGAAAAACCACTTTCACTTTTCTTTCTTTTCCTTTTCCTTTTTTCTTTTTCTTTTTTTGGAAACAAGGTGTTGCCATGTAGTTCAAGCTATCTGAAAAGCTCACGATTCTCCTGCCTCAGCCTCCTGAGCAGTGTGCCACCATGCCCAGGTTTAACTCTTCTGTCGGGCTCCATTGCCCAGACTGGCTCACGTCATCTGCCTGCGTCAGTGTTTGGAGTCACTGGGCATGCTCAGACAAATACCACCACACCCTCAGCAGAAAAATGGTAAAAAGCTGCTGGGGGAAGGGGAGGGAATGACTTCGTATACAAAGGAACTGAGGCCAAGATGACAGCATATTTTCTGTTTTCAAATCCAAGTCAAGAGACAGAGAGATGGGGTTGGAGAGTTGGACCCGCCATTAAGAGAACTTGCTGCTTTTGCAGGGGGTTCCTGTTTGGTTCCCAGGATAACTCCAGCTCCAGGGGATCTGATACCCTCTTTTGGCTTCCACAGTACCTGCCCTCATGTGCACATAGACGCATACATACACAATATTTGTAAATCTTAACGAAAGAGACAGAAATAGCATATTTAGAAACAATGTCACTCTAGAATTCTTTATACTTTCAAAACCAAAGGTAAAATAAAAATATTTCCAGACATACAAAACTGAAAGATTTCAGTACTAGAAGAACTGTACTATAAGAAATACTGATGGTGGGGCTGGAGAGAGGGCTCAGCAGTTAATGTGTACCGCTCTTGCTGAGGACCTAGGTACAGTTCCCAGTACCCAAGTGGGGCAGCTCACAACTGCCTGAACCTCCAGCTCCTGGGGATCTGAGCTTTCTTCTGGCTTATGAGGGCACTGTTCTCATACCCTCAACACATACAATTAAAAATAATAATAATAAGTATTGAAAGAAATAGATATTATTCAAAAAGGAAAAAATTCTACCAAAAATTATGGAAACAATCTATGCAAAGGCATATAGAGCATCTCTAAGTGAGAATCAGCTGAATAAACATTTTGTTTTCTTATTATCTCATCTTCTATGTTCATATTTCAAAGATAACCCAGTGTCTAAAACCAGAAACAAACCAATAACAGAACAGCCAACTGAATAAAAACCGCAGTGTGCTGAGGGTTCTGGTTTGTCAAAGTCATGTTTTAGGCACCTGTATGCTTCTGGCTCATGTATCTCTACTAATGGGTGTAGTGTAGACTAGAAATAAACAGTATTATGTAGTTAAATTTCAATTCAGTTCCTGTTACACACCATTGTGTGCAGAATGAACTAAGTACAGGGCTTTTGGCCTAGGATGTGAGTGCATCTCAAGGAAAACAGACTCTGACCTTTGCTGGCCTTAAGTTGAAGAGGTCCATTGTCCTTTCTATGGGGAGGTTTGGGAGGGGACATAATTCTAACTTGTGTCTTTTCTACTATCTATTTAGAATGTGTAGGATAAACTGGAATGCTCAGCCTCTTGAAATGCAGAGACAAGAAACTATACATTTAACAACCTGTTAGAATGTTAGTATTTCATAAATTAAAAGTGTATCACGCTGAGTGGTGGTGGCTCAGCCTGGAAGTGGTGACACACACCTTTGATCCCAGCACTCGGGAGGCAGAGGCAGGTGGATCTCTGAGTTCAAGGCTAGCCTGGTCTACATGCCAGGGCTACACAGAGAAGCCCTAGTTCACAAAAATAAAACAACAAAACAAAACAAAAGGTATCACATGAGCAGTGGGGCTAATAACATATGCCCAATAAGGTGACAACATTGTCACCTGGGAATCGGAAACTATATCCACCTTAGAATTAGGATCTAAATCTAGGAGGCAGAGTGGAGTAAACCTGAAGATAATTGCCATTGTTCTTTTTAAAATAGCTTCAGTTAGGGACAGGGAACTGGCCATGGAGGTGCTTGCCTGTAATCTCAGTACTTGGGAGTTAACAGCAGGAAGCTCAGGAGTTCAAGGTCCTCCTTGGCTCCAGAGCAAGTCTGAGGCCAGCCTGGATGACACAGACATTGTGTTAAACAAACAGCAAACAAGTAAATTAGCAACAAATCTACTGAAACTATTATAAGATTTTGAAAGAACAAAACATTTTCTTAATTGAAATACTAGGTTAAGTTCAGGCCATTCTATTTTGCTTTAGAACAGCACAGATGTTTCCCTTTACCCTTCAAAGCCAGAAAAAAATTTTTTTCCAAGATAACATTCTAGGATTTTTAAATAAAACACTCCAGATTTTCTGAATTATTTCCCTCCAGCTGAGCAAAGCTTGGGTCTTCATCTTTGAACATGTAGGATACCACAAATCTTGGCGTTTGTGCTTCCAGAATGCCTGGTGGGCTAGAGAGAGGAACACACAGATGTTTCCAGGAAATAGCGGGGACGGGGGTTGTGTCCTTGAGATGCTTTCTTTGGTATGTGAGGGGTGTTGTGCCAAGAGCCCTTTCTCTCCCTTCCGTCTTTACTAGATCTCTTTAGTTTTATGAAAAGCAATTCAGTTTTGTTTTACAGTGAATCACGGTGTTTCTACTTTTAGGGGCGGAGGGGGTTCATTTTTGTTGCTTCCTGTGTATCTGGTCGACAGGGCTTCTGTCTTGTCCTTTGGCCCTGTTGCAGGCCTGCCACAGAGCAAGTATTGTATCCCCTTGTGCTATGTCGATGAGCAGGTATGTGATGCCCAAAGTATGGGTGTGGTGTTCCCGACTAGAGAGAGATACAGTAAATCGGTGATTCCGGGATGATTTTAGGTTCATTTCAGACTTTTCAGATATACACTCCTTCTTATAAAAACTTGACATGGCAGGTGCCTATTTAAATGTGGTGCCTTCCCTTCCCAAACCAATTGATCACAATGGGTTCCAGGCTCTGTATGGGACTGTGCTGTCTCTAAACTCGTAGGAGGCCCAGGGTCTGCCCTTGGTAATGATCCAGCTGGCTCTTGAAGGAGGGTTACTAACTACCAATCATGGTCTTTGAAGGGAGCCACACACTGCCAGTGGGCATTTATGCTATGGTGATTTTGGTGCTGAAAGCTGTATTAATGACAACTTTATTAACAACAGAATACCACAGTTCACCCATTTTATTATTATTATTATTACTATTTTGGTTTTTTGAGACAGGGTTTCTTTGTGTAGCTTTGGAGCCTGTCCTAGAACTCACTCTGTAGACCAGGCTGGCCTCAAACTTACAGAGATCTGCCTGCCTCTGCCTCCTGAGTGCTGGGATTAAAGGCACGTGCCACCACCGCCCGGCTCACAGTTCACCCATTTAAAGTATATAATTCAAGCTGTGTGTGGTGGTGTACACCTGTACCCCAGGACTCAGGAGAACTATGAGTTTGAGGCCAGGCTGGGATGTCTAAGAAGTTTAGGCCAGCCTAGGCTACATAGCAAGAGCTTGTCCTAAAACAAAAGTATACAATTCAGTTTTTGATAATATGTTCACTCCGTGTCGTTACCAAAATCAATTTCAGAGCACTTTAACCCCCGACCCCCAGGAAATCCAATATTCCTTAGCCTACATACTCCCTACTACATTAGTGACTTTTGTTATTGATGCCACCAAGAAGCAAGTGGGGAGGAAGGATGACGGGAAAGCTAGCCTTGGGGGGTCAGCTTCTGCAACCCTCCAATACAGTTCCTCGTGTTGTGGGCACCCCCCAACCACAAAATTACCACGCTGCTACTTCATAACCGCAATTTTGCCACTGTTATGAATCGTAATGTCAATATCTGATCTATGACCTCAAAGGGGTCGCGATCCACAGGTTGAGAACCATTGTCCTAAGCAGACTCTAGATGCTCAGTGTGCCTCCAGTGCAGGGGATTAAAAGTGGGATTCAGGGGCCGGGCGGTGGTGGCGCACGCCTTTAATCCCAGCACTCGGGAGGCAGAGCCAGGCGGATCTCTGTGAGTTCGAGGCCAGCCTGGGCTACCAAGTGAGTTCCAGGAAAGGTGCAAAGCTACACAGAGAAACCCTGTCTCGAAAAACCAAAAAAAAAAAAAAAGTGGGATTCAAGGCGAGGTGTGGGGACTGGGAAGGAAAGATCAAACACAGGGCTAGGGATGGAGCTCAGCGGGTAGCGTGCTTGCCTGCCACACGGAAAGCCCTGGGTTTGGTCCCCAGCACTCCATGAGCAGGGTGTGCTGGCTCAAGCCTCTATCACAGTACTAGGAAGACAGAGGCGGGAAGATCAGAAGTTCAAGGCCATCCTTGGCTACGGTCACAGTTGTCTGGGCTACATGACACGTTTTAAGTGGGGGTGGGGATCCGTGGGACGGCTGAGCAAGAAAAGGCTCCTTCTGCCACTAAGCCCGACAACCTGAGTGTGATCCCTGGGCCCCACATGATGAGAAGAGAGGTAAGGACGCCTGCAAGCTGTCCTTGGACCTCCACACATGTGCTATGCGCCAACCCCCAACAAGTAAAAACAAAAAAAAAAAAAAAAGATGAAGAAGAGGCCCAGGCCCCTCGATGGCTGGACCACATGGTAGGGATCTGCTGTGCCTGGATAAGTGGGGCTGTCCGGAAGCCACCAGGAGGAGATCTGCATTTTGGCTGCTGAGGGGGATGAATGAGTGGCCGCCTCGGGGGAGGGGCAGGTAGTGGTGAGGGTCTGAGGGTGTGAAGGAGGTGAGCTGGGGCTTCAGAGAAGCAGCTCCAGGGCTACTGCACACAGTGGGTGTTTTATTTATTTCCTGAGGTATTAGGGCTCAGACCCAGAGCCTTGTGCGGGCTAGGCAAGCAGGTCCACCAAGCTCCGTCCTCAGAATCTCACTATGCTGCTGTGGCCGGCTTTGAACTCACAGAGAGCCACATGCCTCTGCCTCTTAAGTTAACTCGGCACAAACTAGAGTCAACTGGGAAGAGGGAACCTCAGCTGAAGAACTGACTCCATCAGATTGACCTGTTGACAAGTCTGTGGGACACTTTTTTTTTTTTTTTTGATTAATGATTGATGTGGGAAGACCCAGCCCACTGTGGGCGGTTCCACCCCTGGGCAGGTGGTCCTGAGTTGTGTAAGAAAGCAGGCTGAGCAAGCCAGTAAGCAGCACTTCTCCATGACTTCTGCTCCAGTGCCTGCCTCCAGGTTCCTGCCCATGCTTCCTTGGTCATGGAATGTAACCTCTAAGGGGAGGTATACTCTTTACTCCCCTAAGCTGGTTTGATCAGTGTTTTATCACAGCGAGTGAAAACCAAACAGCAGTGATACAATTAAAAGTGTGTGCCACCCTGCCTGGCCAGCCCTCAGTTTCTTCTTCCTTCCTTCCTTCCTTCCTTCCTTCCTTCCTTCCTTCCTTCCTTCCTCCTTCCTTCCTTCCTTTCTCCTTCCTTTTTTCCTTCCTTCCTTTCTCCTTCTTCTTCTCCTTCTTCTTCTTCTTCTTTTGGCTTTTCAAGCCCTGGCTATCTTGGAACTCACTTACAAGGACCAGGCTAGCCTCAAACACAGAGATCCGCCTGCCTCTGCCTCCCAAGTGCTGAGATTACAGGGGTGTGCCACCACTGTAGCTGGAGAATTTCTCTCCAGCTCCCGTCAAGTCTCACCAGTCCCGGAGCCCACTTATAAAATAAGCACACAGACTCTTACATTATTTAAACTGCTTGGCCATTAGCTCAGGCCTATCATTGTCTAGCTCTTACTCTTATATTTAGCCCATTTCTATTAATCTATACTTTGTCATGTGGCTCGTGGCTTACTGGTACCTTACATCTTGTTTGTCCTGGCGGCGGTTCCAGGCAGTCTCCTCCTCAGCCTTCCTGTTCCCTCAATTCTCCTTTCTGTTAGTCCCGCCTATACTTCCTGTCTGGCTACTGGCTAATCAGTGTTTATTTATACAGAGTGATATCCACAGCACACCACTGCCCAGCCATTGGTTTCTTGAGATTGCACTTTGCCATTGCAAATTACCATTCTCAAAGGGAGTAAAGAATTAATTTATGCCGGGTAGCGAAGGTGCACACCTTTAATACCAGGATTTGGGAGGCAGAGCCAGGTGGATCTCTGTGAGTTCGAGGCCAGCCTGGGCTACAGAGTGAGAGCCAGAGCAGGCACCAAAACTACACAGAGAAACCCTGTCTCGAACCCCCCCCCAAAAGAATTAGTTTATAATGATTTATAAACTATATAATTATATTAATCTCACCTGACCGTCTTCACTTAGCCATTTGCTGCAGCCAGGATTCCCTTACAGCTCAGTGATAAGGTTTTGCTCTCAGGGGAAGAACCTGGGGGAAGGTAAAGTGCATGCACCAGTTAGAGTAGCTCTAGTCAACATTGCCTCCTCCCTAGGGAACCAGGCATGCGAAGTTGGGCACATGACCTCAGCTTCCCTTTCTCTGACTTTGGGGCTCTCCTTCTATGCCCAGGTATGTACCCCTTGGCGACGGCAAGCCAGGAGGTGGAGAGCAGCCGGAAGCTGACACATCTGTTGAACGCGGTGACAGATGCCCTGGTCTGGGTGATTGCTAAGAGTGGCATTTCCTCCCAGCAGCAGTCAGTTCGCCTGGCCAATCTCCTGATGCTTCTTTCTCATGTCCGACACATCAGGTACACACCCTCGGGGAAGCTGGTCCAGTGGGGTGTGGGCAGGGCATATGATCCGAGCTTTGGGAGAATGCAGGCAGGTTTGCAGTGGTAGAATGTTCAGCTTGAGAGAAGAATGAACTTTTGAGTGGGAATTCATCAGTGCATGCACCTGCACCAAAGCTTGGCCCATAGTTGGTGTTGAAATGAGTGCCACATGGTACCTGACAGGATTTTTGTGGCAGCTGGCGGGACCCACCTGGATGTAGTTGCTAGGGTTTAGAATTTGTTTATAGAGTCCTAAAATGGGCAGTTCTCCTCCTAAAATGAGTTGCCATCCTCCTTATACCACCCAGGGCCAAGGCCTGGGGTCATTTCTGTGAGGATGGCTTGGCTCTCCTGGTCACCCTTCAGCTGAGGACGGGGGGCGTGCACCAAGTTGTCCTTTCCTTTCCATGGTATCGGGATACCAAGGATGAGATCTAAGAGAACGTCCCAAGAGGTTGAGGAAGCAAGACTGTGGATGGAGCACAGTCCCGGTCAGGAAGTGCACGGCGTGTGCACTGATGAAGATAGGCTCTGATGGCTATTGTCGGGACAGTGATGCTCAGTGGGTGGTGTTGGGCAGGAGGGTCGCCTTGCCCGAGTCTGGAAGAGAGGAGATGAAGATGGAAGGCAGTGCTTGCCTGAGGAGGAAGCTATAAGAGCTGTGGGGAAGGACAGTGTTCACGTCAAGCATTTAACATGGAGGAGGAAAGAAGAAGGAGAAGCCCTTCCTGTTTCTTCTTTAAGGAGTGCTCGGCCCATGACCCTCTGCAGAATAGATATTAGTCTATCCTCACTTATGTGTGAGTTCACCTAATTGTTGAAGTTTGTTCAGAACCCCCACATCAGTATTCATGACCCTTTCAAGGTCAAGCCAAGAACGGCAAAATTTTTCAGTGTCTTGATATGTGCATTCCCAGCTGGGTCGGTCGAGGAGATAGGTGCTTCCGTCCTCCCAGTGTGAAGAGGCCTACTTACAGTTTCACTATTTAGAACCTTGTTTTCGTGCTTTTTATGAAGGAGCTCATGGTGTAGCATTGGGTGGTGAGATGGAGGTCGAGGGGATACCACTTTTGCCCTTGAATGTAGACTATGGAGGGAGCTGGATGTATGAGCTCCAGAACAACGGGGTAGAAGCAAAGGGAAATGTGGGAGATGGGCTGACTTTGTGCCGGAGACTTGGGGACTATTTCGTTTCGATGGCTATCTAGAAAGAAGGATTCTCAGTGCCTTTTCCCCTCATAGTAACAAGGGCATGGAACACCTGCTCAGCATGAAGTGCAAAAACGTGGTCCCAGTGTACGACCTGCTGCTGGAGATGCTGAATGCTCACACGCTTCGAGGGTACAAGTCCTCAGTCTCGGTGTCTGATTGCAGCTCAGCAGAGGACAGCAAGAGCAAAGAGGCCTCCCAGAACCCACAGTCTCAGTGACGGACAGGCCTGAGGTGGACATTCTACAGAGCTGCTCAAAGGTGGAACCCTGCACCCTCGCAGCTCCCCAGCTGGGGTTTCATCTTATGGCTGCCTTGGTCATGCACCCTTCCCCCACATTCCATTTCCCAGGGGTCAGGGTGGGTGGGTTGCAGTGTCCCTGTACCGGGGGATACCTTTGAATGCAGAGTTCTCACTTTTGTATAGCCTTAGAAGGTTCTCGATGTGACCCTTCTCTCACTCTCCATCTCCTCTGCCCACTCGGGAAAACGTCTCAAAGCTTCTGGAATGGATGGTGAAAGTCTGACCCGGAAGGATTGGCCTGAGACAGGGGAGAGAAGATGACACTCTGCAGCAGGAGTTCTCAACCTCTCTGATGCTGTGACCCTTTAATACAGCTCCTCATGTTGTGGAGACCCCCAACCATAAGATTATTCCGTTGCTACTTTGTAACTGTAATTTTGCTACTGTTATGAATCGTAATGTAAATATCTGATATGCAGGACGTCTGATATGTGACCCCCACGGGGGTTCATGACCCACAGATGGAGAACCACTGGTCTATAAGAAATGGACTGTAGAATTAACTGTGTGGTTGTAAAATCAACCTTTGAAGGGTGTCTTTCCAGACCACTTGATTGTAGGATTGAAAACCACATTGACAATCAGCTCGTTTCACATTCCTACCTCACAGGCTTGTGAGGACTGATGACGTGTTGTTGGTTATTCTATCAGAGACCAGAGTGGTACTGGTCAATCTCAGATGTGAGCCGCCTTCCTCCCCCCAGGTCTTCTTGCTATCCACGCAGATTCTTCCTTCCTGATTTATGTTTGTAGAACCTGCTTATTTGACCTATTGAGTCTCACTGTCATGGATCAAGATTTAAATCTTTCTATAGTTGGGCTTCCTTGAAGCTATGTTGATGCTTGCTCTCTCTCTCTGCATGTGTGTGTGTGTGTGAGTGTGTGTGTGTGTGTGTGTGTGTGTGTGTGTGTGTGTGTGTGTGTGTGAATGGAGTTTATCCTGTGGGTGTGAATCACAGTACACTGCTTCTTTTAGGCCTTGTGAATGCAGTTTTCATCTCGCACAGCAGAGGTGGCAGATCAGCTATCCTGGGAGGCATGGATGCTACAGGCTGTAGATGTACATGATACATATCCTCTGGAAGGAACACACACACACACACACACACACACACATACACACACACACAGCTTTAGGCCTGTATCGTGTGGATTGGATGGGCAAAACACTTGAACACATCGATGTTGGTTTGTTTGTTTGTTTGTTTTGACTCCTTCAAAAAGAGAAATATTTAGGGGTAATTATTTATGGCAAAAAAAATAGCTTCTCTAACCTACAGCTCTCAAAAAAAAATTTTTTTTTTGAGACAGGGTTTTTCTGTGTAGCCCTGGTTGTCCTGGAACTCACTCTGTACACCAGGCTGGCCTCGAACTCACAGAGATCTGCCTGCCTCTGCCTCCTGAGTGTTGGAATTAAAGGTGTGTGCCACCACCGCCCAGAACACTTTTGAGGTGGGTTGTGTGAAGTAAAAACTTAGCCAACACATTAGCTCTTATTCAAATGGAATTTGATGGGAGCTAAGGAGAAAGTCCTTCTGAAACGGCCACTGTAACTCACATTTTAGAAACTGGGGTTTTCAGACACGTTTTTAGGAACGTGGCAAATTCACAAAATGTGTAACAGCTCCACTTTGGAAGTAAGCAATTAAATGATTATGCCGATTGGATGTTTTAAAAAGTAAAACCTGGTGATACAGCATTAAATACACTTCCCTTTGAAACTAGGGTTGCGTTGGTCAGTACATCCTGTATTTACTGAGTCGTTCATTAGGAAGATTACCCTTAACAAGAGGGAACTTGAATATGTCTTAATTTTGATGTTGGTGTGCTGTTGCTAACGCTGACTTTAGCAGCATCTCACACATACTGGGACACAGACGTAGGGGACGCACAGGTGTGGGGGGTGTTCTCAGGCAGTTTGAAATTATTAGCAGTTCAGCGCTGTAGCCCAAGAGCATCAGCGCAGAAAGCCGTCCTCTGTAGACACAGGCCGGGGGTTGGAGGGCAGGAAGAGGGAGGCAAAGGCAACCTTGAAACACTGCCAGTAAAATTTTGTTTTTTCAAGAGCCTTCCAGACTAGGAAAACAGAAATCAGAATGAGCTCCAAGCTATTGTCTACTCAGTGCACGGTGAAGTTCTTGGCTGTCTTTGGACACCTAAGGAAGGAATCAGTTTGAACTCAGGTGGTCAAGCGCCCTTCTGTGCCAAGTTCTGTGTGTGCTTAGATTAACTGCATGCGCCAGTGGTCACTAGTTAGCCTGGAATTCTTAATCCTTCTGCGTCAGCCTATGGGGATCCCAGCCATGCACCACCACACCCAGCCTATTAGTTATTGGGTTCCCAGTTCTCCCAGCTGCTTCTCGGCCGCTCATTTCACTGTGTGTGGCTCAGTGGGAAGAGGAGGCCATACTCTAGGTCGTTTCTCCGTGACTTGCATCTCAGCTGGGTCTGGTCGGGACGCAGGTTAGCCCTGCCTGCCTGAGACTTCTCAGTCCAGGGCTGTTTTTGACTCGGCTCTGGGACAAGTGGGTGGTTGAAATGTGATAGGTACTCCGAAGACCACTTGCTGTTTCTGAGCACCCTGGGGTCCTCTTCTCCCTTTCAGCTAAAGTGCTATTATCTCTGGCCGTCTGTTCCAGACATGCTAAGGATGACATGGTTTTCAGTGTATTGGGGAAATGCTCAGTGTCCATTTTAAAGATGGTGGCTTCCTTAAAACCTTCACATTCCTTTGAGACAGTTTGAGTTCTCTCATGGCGGCACAAGTCTCAAATGTTTAAGTTTTTTTTTTTTTTTTTAAGGATGAATAGGACCTGGCAGCTGTGAACATGGATTAGATTACTGCACACCCTGGCCCCCACGAAACCACAACTGACATATTGTAGAGCAGTCATCCTCAGCCCTGCCTTGAACTGGTATGGCAGGAGTCTTCTGTTGTAATCAGCAAGATTCACCCCAGAAATCTGTAGATGAATGGGCTTTGCCTAACTCCCAAATCACAAGTTTAAATTATACATGGTCACCATGAAATAGCCGTAATGCAGGTATTATTCTGTAATAACAGAATTCTCGCAGATTCCTGGGTGTGGACTAGCCTGGGGGAGGTCTGGTGTGGATGGGATTGTCCACAGGAGAGCCACACAGTGATTTCTTACAAATGTCCCTCTCTTTTCACTGGCTCTGTTTATCCTACTTGTCAGGGGGAGAAGAGATTAACTCCAAAAATAATCCCAAAGAGCCATTTTTTTTTTTTTTTCCTGGAGAAAGTCTAGTGAGAACACACAACAAATAACACAGGGAGTTTTAACCATTTAAACAATGAAACAGTACAACAGCAGCCGCCACACACACACACACACACACACACACACACACACACACACACACACACACACACACAGAGCCCTTACCTGACTGTTAATTCAGCTGGGAAGGCAGCGATTTAAAAATTTTACAAGGAAGGAGGTTACTTACCAATTCTCAGCACAGCCGTACGTGCAGAGACAAGGAAGCTGGGTTGAAGCATTCCTAGCATTTCCTAGTATACGAAGGGTTTGGTTCCTATTTGCATCGGCTTGCGTACATTGATAACTTCTCAAAAGTCAAGGCATACCCCCAGTTTCTAGTTCTATTGTGAAACAAAGTAGTTTTGTTTAGTAAGACACAATATATGTCTTTAAGCTGCTAAAACAAATAAACCCTTAAAAGATACTGTAAACGTTACATAAGTAACAAAATGGTATTTGGGGAACAGTCACTATGTGCCAGGCACAGCTTTCACATTTAATCTTCATTATTCATTCCTGTGACTCTATTTTAATTTTTTTTTAATTTTAATTTTTGGGTGTGGAAGGCCAAGTAGACTTATTGAAGGTCACACAGAACAGATGATGGAACTGGCCGTTCTAGTCCGGTGCTGAAAGTGATTACACAGTTCACCCAGTTAAAAAATTAAGGAGTCCTAATGCAGCTTTAGTGCTGAGAGTCCTTGTCTAGCATGGACAAGGCCATGGGCACTATCGCAAACAGTGCACAAAAAAAAATAATTTCAAAAAAATTCTATTTTTTTTGCTCTCTGCCATTTCGTTACATCCCCATCCCCCACACCCTGGGGATCTCCCTATGAAACTCCACATGCCTAACACCCAGAACACCTCCGGAAACAGTCACAAACAGCTGAGAAATTTCGGACGCCAAAGTTCAAGCTTATATTTTATCCATGTGCAAACTGAAAGTGCTGGGGGGCCGCCTGAGCGGCTCAGGGTCTTGCAACTTCTTGTTTCCAAGGCTGGGTTGGAATCCGAGCCTCCTGTTCACTCGCTGCCTTCTCTGGCTCCGAGATTCTACCTCTTGAGCAGTGTTGTGATGACAGTTGGTGAAGCCATGGGCGACTTCTCTGTCCCTTTCCACCTGTACCTTCTCAGCGTAGAGTGGGTCTGCTTGAACCTGGGCCGGGCAGCAGCAGTGATGGGCAGGAGATGCGGGCCACTGTATTCCTGTCCTGCCATCTTACCACAGAGCTTAAGCCAGGGGGGTTCCCCATCACTTCCTGGTACTTTGCCTCCAGTGCCCCAGAGCTTCACTCATGCCTTGAAATGACACCGGTGTGAAACGCCGCATCTCTCAGGCACCAGCGTCTCCTGGTGGAGCTGAGTGTGCTTCATGCCAGTTTTCCCCTGGAGTTCTCACACTCCATGGAATTTGGATCCAGTTGTGCACTGTCTCTGTGGACATGATTTTAAAAGTCCCAGGGACCGCCTTCACTTGTAGGCCAGCCAGTTCCTTGTGGCGGGCTTCCTCTTGGTGATGGGCAAAGGTTGGCTAGCCCTAAACAGCTCGCAGTAACTGCACTCCCATGGTCACTCACCTGTTTTCCTGTGAACCCTGGTCCTATTACTTCATGAGGCAGTGGTCATGTGTCCCTCTGAGCCTGTTGGTTGACTATAATTTGCCATTTTTTTTCCCCAGACAGATGCCGTGTGCCATCAGGCTAATGTTGATACATCAGGCTTTGAACTGTGAGCCTGTTAAGAAACGAGCATTTGAGTGTGGTGGCTTACACCTGGAAGCCCTTGCACTTGGGAGGCTTGCCATGAATTCGAGGCTAACCTGGGCTACACAGTGAGACTCTATCTCAAAGAGCCAAAAAGTCCATGTGATGCTGTTAAGGCTCATCATGCATCCGTCTGGGAGTCCCCTGTCCTTACCATGTCTCTTTAATATCAATGGAGCTGTAGCAGAGAGAAGTCTAATGTGACAAAGTGTTTTTTGTAATTTGGGTTTTAAAGACATATTTGTTGGGAGCTGAGTGTAAGAACTTAAGAGTTGCTGGGCTAAGTAGTGTCTGATTTTCTTCTGTGAATTCTATTCTCTTTTGGGGTTTATATTGTTGAAAACTGTGGTCAGTCTTCCTAGGAGAGGGGACGTCAGCCCTGGTGCTTGCCGACCATTTCAGAAGAGTTATGAGCCCCCTGTTCCCCTAGTTGCCTGAACAGGAACAATTGAACCTGTAGTTACTGAATCACTTTTTACGCATTCCCACAGATGCTTTGTAGAGATGTAAAAGCCCCGGTATGCAGAGAGAGACTCAATGTATTTGGGTAGATTTCCTGTAATTTTTGTCATCTGACTCCACTAGGAATACACCCTTCAGAGATGGGGTGAAGTCATTCACTCATACTGAAGTTATTTTTGTGCCTATGGCCATTTGAAGATTTCCCCTACAAGTGGGGAAGGAAAGATGTGAACAATTTGCTTAAGACTGAGAGACACGAATCATCTCGTACAAGCATTTGGGGGATACTCCAAGC